GTATGTATGTATGTATGTATGTATGTACAGTATATGCGGTAGACGGTAGAAACAGTATGAAGTTGGCCTATGATAGAAATTTATACTCTACCGTCCTATCGTCATTATGTCATCGCACCTGTGTGAACAGGGCTGTGAGTGCAGAGACAACTGAGCAGGAGTTCGAAATATAATGAAGAAATTCTAGCATTTTAAAACACGTATAGAGAGGATAAATCCTCAAAATTTCCTCCTCCCACTGTAGAAAAGTTACGTACAGTGCGTCGTGTCGCTGGATCATTTCCTCTTCCCTTTCTCTCCTCTCCTCTCCTAGAGCCCTAGAGAGAGAGAGAGAGAGAGTTGCGACACTCTTTGAACTAGCCGACACGCAGTCACGTGTATCGGCTGGTTCAAAGAGGGGCTCTGTCCTCTCCTCTCGCTGCACATCGTGCAGAGCGAAGCTTTGACAACTGTAGTTTTTCACATCTAATTGTCGGAGAAAAAACTTTTTTATGTATTGTTACCCACAGAGATTATTTAAAAAAAAGACGTGGACATTCGTTCAGTCGTAAATCCATCTTGCTTTTTTTTTGTTTTGATGGCTTCTGCTCTGCTGATGATGATGATGATGAAGATGAGCGTGCAGCAGAGCAGCAGCTGATAAGTTCAGCAGGTAGAAGCTCATTGTTTGGCAGGCAGATATTAAAGCAAAAACATTGGGTTTAAGTAAGATTACAGTTTTCTGCAAAAWAAATGCTCTAAAAATTACATTATCTTAACTTTTTATGATAATTCTCTACCGCGATATATACCGTTACCATGAAGGGGTTCAGTTTATACCATGATATGAATTTGAGGTCATACCGCCCAGCCCTAAGTGGTATTATTTAAAAGTTAAATAATAAGAAAGTTAACCATCATTAACTAAACTGTAGGAGAAAGCTACAAACCAGAAATAGACAAAAAGATTTGATTGAAGAAGATTGCAATAACATATTTACAATAATTACAAAATAAAAGACACTAACATTGGATGTAAAAGCACACTAACATTAAAATTTGGAGCACTGCAGATGTAAACTAATAGAAATGGGACGGATCAATTGATCAATAGACTTGCAAACAAACATATAGATTATTTGGACCATTTTTAGGGACATGTATAGTAGGGTCGGGCAAAATCGTACTGAGTGCAATCAATCGTCAGAAAAACTGTCAGCAATTAATATTTGCCACTTTGCAATTACTGCAATTACTGCAATTACTGCTACGTGATGACATTTTTGTGTGCGATGCACTCTCACTATCATGCACACAGATAAGCCTGTGGCATATTGTTTTGCTAAAGGTCTGCTGCCACTTAACGTTGTGGAAAAAGTGGGTTTGAATTCACTGTTTACTATTTTAACCTGTTAAAATGAAGGAATTAATTTAGTTTGATGGTTTGTAATTATCATTTTAGAACACAGGGTAACTGATTTAGAGTCAAAAACATGGAAATGCAATTGCCACGTTAATCGTCATATTAATCGGCTAAGTGCCACAATTAGTCATGGTTAATTTTATTTGCTGTTCTCGCCAAACCCTATAGTTTAGACATTGTTGAGTTTTTGATTTGTTTCTCATCAACGTTTTAGCAGATTATTGAGAAAATTGTTGTATTGGATGAACACAATAAACCAGTAAATTATCACAGCCCGGATTTTTGTGAAACATGATCCGTGGGTTTTAGCTTTGCTTACATTCGATTGTCCTTGTATTTACTCACACGGCACAGCCTTTTAGCCATCTCACTGGTTGTTACACAACATGCAGATGGTTCTGTTTGCCTCGCTCTGTGTGTGTGTGTGTGTTATTGGGAGTGTGTGTTCATGCAGGGCTTGAATCTGGGAGGGGGAGGGCTTGTGAGCACTGCAACTTCAGTCCTACCCAATGTCATTTTGTTAATTCACACTTCATCAATTAGCTCAAAAGGATTCACTTAGACGTGGAGAGGCAGATGTGTAAAACAGTAACCTGAGGAGACAAACAGCAGCGGTGTACATATGGATCACACTGCAGCGCCGTCCCCTCACACTCCGCTGGGGTTTTTTTAAAGTCCAGTTGGTTTTAATCAAACTCACTGTCACTAGAAAACCCAGCTCATGTGAAAAGTCCGCTCATATTCTCAGAGGTATGCATATGCATTTGCGTTTGTGTGTGCTTATGTGTTGTGGCGGCGAGAGCGGCGGATAAGATTGCCTCAAATTGATTCCCTCCGCCGCCGCACGTCCCCCGCTCTCGCTACTGGCCCCGCAGCGCTTGGAGACAGGTAGTCATGTCTATCTCCCCCCAACACAAATCGAGTGTGACAGGTGCGCTATCTTCCCGTCTTTTCTGCCATTTACAGCCCACAGAAATGAAAGAAGAGAGCTGGGAGCGGGAAAGAGGATGATTGGTAACAGGGAAATGAGGTACTTTGTCATCATCGGGCCGAGTGATTTGGCTTAGGGGAGGTCTTGTTTTGTTTTTTTGTTTTTTTTACTCCCCTTTAATGCATAGCAGTCAAATTTGCAGATAAACAGTTCAATATAATGTCATCCGTGCTGAGCACAATTACTAAAACTCCCAAACTTCTAAGGAATCCAACATGGTGGGTGTTTTACCTAGAACTACCTAGAACTCCTCCCGTCACCATGGCTGGAACAACAGTTTGCTGCAGAACAATGCAGGCACAGCAACCATTTACCAACCCTAAGTACAGTATGACAGTCAGATTAGCTGGGAGCAGTGTTATGAGCCGAAGTCTACCGCAAAGCATCCATCACTAAGGATCAAGCTCAGGCTTAAGCAAATGGATGACAAGGGATAGAGGGAGTCGGCAGCTAATGCCAGTTCACTGTATCCCATTGATTTTTCACAGTCGTGTACTTCTCCTTCGATAAAAGGCTCAAACGGGAATGGAAACGGTCAGCCGCTCTGTCTTAAAGATTTTCTGTGGCGTTTGGGCTGAGCWGAATAAAAAAGAAAATCTGTGATTATGTGTGTACTACAGCTAGGACACMACTATGACTCTATGAATTAGAGCTACTAAGGCATTTTTTTTGTATCATACCATATGCTGTACTGTTTATTCGTATTGTGTCATGTGTCTTATTGTATCATCTAGCATTGCACTACAACATCATATTATGTTGTATCATACCTTTTTGTCATATGCAGTCAAATTCAACCAAGAAGTTGTTCAGGGCTTTACTAGGCAACATCCGAGAAAAGGACAGGCAGATCAACAGAATGTTTAATTTAATTTTTTTTATCGCCCGTCACTTTTACAGTGTGTTCTTTAAGTGTAACAGACATCAAGGCTGTTCTGAGGGAGAGTTAAAATACTCTTTAATTATGCAGCATGTTTGATTGGTGCTCGCGACCCAAGCTGTGAAGACAAAATCATGTTAACTCGCCCTTTTATCTGTGTGATTTTTCCCCTGTCTCATGCGTGCGCACGCTATCTCTGTCTCTCATGCACACATGCACACGCATCGTGTGAAGTGACTGTTCCATTTAGGGAACTGTCAGAATATACCCCGTGAGCACATCAGGCTGTTCCTATCCTCTGTCAGCTCCAGCAGAGGCTGTGTGGGGGTATGTCAGAAATGTGCGGGGATAGATAAAACCTATGGAGCCAAACAGCTTTGTTTCATTCATTCCCTCTCTCTCTCTCTCTTTTCCCCCCTACTTCCTTCTTTCTCCGTCTTCCCATTCCTTCTTTCCTTGTACAGGCTGTGAATACCCTGCATCTGAGAAATCAGACCAGACTGACTCACAGGGCTCTGTGAGCCAGTGCCACCGAGGCTGCCAAAGCATGCTGGTGCCAAGCTGTCCCACCATGCACAGAGCCAGACCCACGCTGCTGCTGCTGCTGCCACTGCTGCTGCTCGTCCAGGGTCTGCTCCTCCACCTCGCCGACGCTCAAAGTAAGTCCACCGTACACTCTTACGTAGGCCTCAAAAAGGCTGTCCTTCTGAGATGGTGACTGTTCTTTTCCTTTTCATTCTTGTCAGACACCAAATAAAAGTTACATTCATGACACATTCAGGTTGATATGCATACAAAATGACCATTAGAGTAAAAGGTGGCAGCATTTTACACAAGTTCTAAACACAAAACACCTCCCCGCCTTCACCTACAATCTGACTGGAAAAATGGAAGCAGCAGTAGTTCATACCAGGGTTTGACAAGTTTTTTTAACCTGCCTGACATGAAAGGTTACCTGCTCAAAACAAAATGTGCAAAATTTCAGTATTAAATCAGACAAACAACTGTTGCCATCTAAACGCTGAGCTGTGTGATGTATTCTACATAAGGAGACAGAAATTATGATGATTTAGCCCCTGTCTACGTGTTTTTAAATGATATATTTCTTCATTTATTTTCAGATTTTTTAAATTAAACAGACATATATTATAAAAAATAGTTTACATGCCCATTCGGGCGGGGATCGGGACACATCAACCTGCCTRAATTTGTTTTACGCACCCCGGGCTGTCGGGCAGTGGTATTTGTCGAACCTGCTTCATACAGATATTGAGACAAACTTAAGTCTGATAGTAGCTGAGAGTCATCCCTAGCATATACATAGGGGCGGCTGTGGGAGAGTGGTTAGGGGAGTCGTCCTGGAACTGGAAGATCACTGGTTCGACCCCTCATCCAGCTGTCTCAGTTGTTGTGTCCTTGGGCAAGACACTTCACCCCAATGCCTCTGATGTGTCCCATCAGTGTATGAATGTGATTGGCACCGATTAGTCTCCATAGATGATTGTACATGTTAGCTTTGTAGAGACCTAACAGCTGTGTGAATGGGTAAATGAGGACACAGATTGTAGTGTGAAGCACTTTGAGTGTTCTGGTTGGGTAGAAAGGCGCTATGTAAGTGCAGTCCATTTACCATTACATATACAGACTCCAAGTGCTAACAAATCTTTCAACATCGTTGTTTCAAACTTTAGCATGCAAGGTTCAGGCTATACAGGATGGTTAATCGGTCAGGATTTTTGAAGCTGTAATTTAAGAAAGTGATCAATTTTTATGGCATTTAAAAATTAATACAATTAATAAAATGTACAAACACAAAGAGAGCTTTAGGCCAGTCAATATTACAGATGTTGAGTTAAAATTGTTTACAGTAGTAACTGAGACTAGCCCCCAATTTATACTCTGAGAACTACTTGATTACTTGAAACTTCAAACTTTGTTTCTAACAATTGGAGTCAGCTGAGTATTTGTCAACAGAAGATATCGTGAACCCCTAAATAAAATTTAATGTAACCCTTAAAGTAATCATTGGGTGTGTTAATTGTTTTTAACAATTTGCCTGTCGTGAAAGGAATAAACTATTATTTTATGGAAGGAAATACAAAAAAAGTAGCTACAACAATGTCAGTTTGTCGATTTGAGCTTTGACATGGCCATCCCTGAGGCTCGCCCTTAACACGTTAACAAATAAATAATGTTTCAAACAAAATGGCTGTAACTCCATCCCTTTTTAACCTAACCTGATTTTAAAATACTGGCAAGAAAAGGCAGTGGGCAATATGCATTTTTTTTTTCAAGAATTGCTGGGTTTATTTTCCCTCCCTCCTTGTAACACATCTTTATTTTAGAATACCCTAACCCTTTTTCTCAATGAACCTCAAAATTCGTCCCCGTCTTTATTTTCGAAGTGTATTTTTTTCTGCAATAGTAACCAGAAATGCTCGGGCCTTAGCTCAGAATATCACAATGAAAAATCTTCAGAATTGAGTTACTTGACATGAGACACCTGCTCATTGATGTGTGACAACAGTTTTCAAAGCTCATTGAGCTTTGGTCCTACACCAAAGATTCCCCCTCCTTCTCCCACCTTTTTTTTAACACTAAGATCCATGAATCATTAGCTCCTGGAGTCACAGTATGATGAATACAATTTTTATTGCTCCCTCAGCACCGACTGAAATCCCCTCTGTTGGGCTGAATATCTCTGACTGAAGGGCTCGTTTACCCAAGGTCATATACAACGGAGCCACGCAAAGTGAAATTGATAGGCAAAATTTTCCAACTTTTTGCTTGAGAAATGTTCCCTGCAATCTCCTGAAATGCGTTTTATTTTTCTCCCCTTTCCCCTCCCGCCACATATGTTTCTCAGTGGGAGAAGAGGCAAACGGAGGAGCGTATTCTCGTTTATCCTCTCGTTTTATGTGCCGCTCTGGGATTTATGGACACAGTTTAATTATGGGACCTTCCAAACAAAGCATTAATGGTCAATAAATGTCACCAAGGGAGTTTTGGAAGTTGTGAAACTCCCGTGTTCCACAGTTCAGTGTAAAGTAACACAACATTTGATGTAGAGGGTGGGGGGTGGGGGGAGGCACGAGCAGCTGTCTTGGGAAAACCTGTGCAACTGTACTCGACAGCCCCCCGAATTTTGACGCCACAGTTTAAACCTTCCCCCTCCACCACCACCCACAAGTAATTTCCTTCCTTTAGCTGTCTGGCTGCGAGCAGCTGCCGTTACCCCATACTCTCCTTAAAACAGCTGTGCTGGGTCATCATTTCCACGCCAAAACAAACTTAGCACGAGGGAGCCACAGTGGCTGTCTGTTAATGACTGAGAGGGGTGTCTGAGAGTTGGGGAGGTCATCCTGTCTGAAACCGAGGTGTGAGAGAAATTGCCTGTTCCTACTTCAGGCGGTACATTACAGCTCTGGGATTTAAATTTAGTCTGTGCTCCTGCGCCGTCTGATCTCCCTCTTGCATGCAGTTGTCCCTCGCTCTCCCAGCTTCCCTCAGTTGTTGTTCTAATAACTCTCTTGCCAATTTTCTCATTTCTGCTTTGGGATTTTTCTTTCTGTTTTTGTTTTGTTGTCTTTTTTTATTCTCTTTCTTTCTTTTCTTCTGCAATCCCCCCTCCACCACACACACACACACACACACACACACACACACACACACACACACACACAC